TCACTTTCTCCAGGGGAGCTGATCTCTTTAACCTAAAGACCATTTGTAACCTAAAGACTCTGTAACCTAAAGACCTGGAGGCTGGCAACCCTATCAGTATTATCAGAGCTGTAGTATGAATGGGCAGGGGTTATTTCGTAGAAAAAGAGGTGCAGGAGCTCATTAGCATAACTTATTTCTATATGCCACACCCCCTGACATCACCGGAAGTGTGTCAGAAGGCAGCACCCACTGCTCAGGCTCCACTGGACTGTTTTGGATTGCTAGCTATTGGGGGGGGGGACATGCAGATCTATCCTCGCAGAGGAGGGAAAGCTTGTACCTGAATAAAACTTGGTGCCACTGGACTGTTTGTTTGGGGGGGGGCTTTGCAACTTACCTGGGTGCTTCTTGCTGTGACTGAGGGCTGCTGGGAGCAGGGGGTGGGGCTTGTTGCATGTGCCCGCCCCCTGGGCTCTTTACTGCCAGAGCTCCGCTCCTGTGCGCTCCTGCAGGAAATGACCCCTGTATATAGGTTTTTTCTTCTTGATTGTTCATATTCATATTTTTTCTTGGTTTTATGGATTTCTCTTTTAAGTAGTATTTTATTAGAATGTAAGAAAGGCCTGTTATATAGAAGGCTTTCCCCTTGTAGGTCTGATATTGCTAGCAGATAAGATAATAGGCACAAAGTTCATGGTTCTGTAGTTCTTAAGGGCAAAACCTTGCAATGTCTGGGTCAGAGAAGATTTTAGTCTCGTATCAGTAAAAAAAATACTTTTGTTTGGGGTATAAAGATTCCTTGCCTATTATCATTTTAGATTAGGTTAAGTAAACACTTAGATTTACGTAGATATATCTCTCTGTACATCTGACAAATCGTAAGCTTATTATTCAAATGACCATTGTCTTTTATAACCAATTATGCTTTTTGAATATTGTTTTCTTGATTACGTCAGTTCATGTATAAAAGATCATGCACTTCCTGAATATGCTCGGAAAGCAGTCAACTTCTGATGGGCTGTTGGGTCCAACTGTTTTCCCGTGTCTAATTGCAATTGAACATAGATCGTCCTCCTCATTTGACTTCATTTTTGATTTGGAGTCTAATATGTATAACAGAGCCCATACCCAGGCCCTCTGTAGACAGCACTGCAAGATTGTGGTTTCTCACCCTCGTACCCCATTCCACTGAACTCTCTGAGAACTTCGCCTTGAAGTCCAGGTTGCTGCTTAAGTCTGGGATCATTAAACGGCCCTTTGATGAAAAGAAGCTTGAACAGAAAATTAATTCCTACATGGAAAGCCTTTCTATGCAGGAAATAATAACCAATCCACGTATGTCTAACTGGATCACATTTTTGTACGTCCCTCTGCATGTATTGATTCGCATGCATTGCATGTATTGATCACGCACCCTGTGCGTGAAAAGAAGTAGTGTATCTCCAGTGAGAGGGCACTGGCTGCGTGTATCATTTCACTTCTATTTTCACGTGAGCTACTTACTGTCTTCCTGCTTGGAAATTCCATTTAGGTAAGAGTTTCCTCATCTGTGAAACGGCCCTTAATAAAGCTAATAGAATGAAAGCAAGGATCGGTATAGAGGGGTAAATGACCAGATCTCTCCTCGTCTTGCCAGGATGAATTTGTGTCCGCGTTCAGACAGGCTGAGCGGAGGAAGAACGCGTTGTCAGTGACCAATTCGGCAATGCAAGTCCGGTTCCAGGCGGGCACTGATGTCATCGAGGACCTGACGATTTTATATGGAGGCATTGGCTGTACCACAGTGAGCGCCCCAAACACCTCTCAGAAGCTACGAGGAAGGTACGATGGTCCTCTGGGCATCTTGTCAGAAAGAGCCCTTCTTACTAATAGGGAAGATAGTTAATTCTAATGTGTGAGGTGGGTTTTTGCATATTTATAGTTTCAAGAGGCTAGCCATGTTGATCTATAGTAGAAGAGCTAGATTCGAGTCCAGCAACACCTTAGAGACCAAAAAGATTTTTGGGTTTTAAGTTTTCGAGAGTCAAAGGTCTCTAAGTTGCTGCTGGACTCGAATCTAACTCTCCATGTTTCTAGAACAATGTTTGTGTCCAGTGGTACCTGTTATGTATTGCTGGAGCTTGAGTCTGAGTGAAGGCTCCAAAGGCCTTCAAGGCTATTGGTTGTGTTGCCGGTAACAGCCAATCATATTTGTTGCCTTATATCCAATAGCTGTACTGTCGATAGTTACTTTATAGTCCATGCAAATGAAGGATCCTAGCTGCCTACTTTGTATTGGTTGTTGTTAAAGGTGGGTGTGGTTTTTACAAGTATAAATTGGCTCCCGTTGACCCTGTGTCTTTGGTTCGGAAATTCAATAAAGAAGCACTTTATTATGAAAAGAACTGCCTCGTATCAATACTTAATAGGACCTTTAAGACTGACAACGTTTAATTCTGGGCATAAGCTTTTCTGTGCATGCACCCAGAATTAAACTTTGTTGGTCTTAAAGCTGCCACTGGACTCAAACTCTTTTCTCTTGCTTCATACCAACATGGCTACCCACCTGAATCTATCTCCATATTTGTAGTTTGTTTTTCCGATCTCGATGGCTGATTTCGCACTAGAGCTGCCTCGATGTTGCGCCGCCGTTTGCCCCGATACTATTGGTCAATTTCACACCCGAAGTTGCGGGGCTGCATTTTGACTCGCGGCTTCACCCGATTTCCCCCGCAGTTTCGTGATCCTGTTTTTTGAGGATCACGAAACTGCGGAGGAAATCGGGCGAAGCCGTGGGTCAAATGCAGACCCGCAGCTTCGGGTGTGAAATTGACCAATAGTATCGGGGCAAACGGCGGCGCAACATCGAGGCAGCTCTAGTGCAAAATCAGCCAGTGTTTCTCATGCTCAGTTTACTTCCCAGTTCCTGTCATCTAGCATCAATGGGATTAGAGAAAGACTGCGTCATTCTTGGCGAGTACAAGCAATGTTCTGTGATGTCCCATTCATTTTGCACACCATCTGGCGTCCTCCCACAAGGAGAAAACTGAAATGTCCCAGTTGGAGATCATTCTGTCTCAATCCCCAGTATGGAAACGTGAGAGAAAAAGCCATGTGTTGACTATTCTCGTGACAATCTTTTCTTGAATACAAGTCTGGTATCTCAGGGCTAAAGCTTTTATTCCTGTTCCTAAATAAAAGTTCGCACACCTCTACTTAATTTATTTGTTTGAAATATTTACAACGCTGTTTTTCTTCTGATAAATCAAGACCCAAGATGAGTAGTAATCCTGTGACGAAATACGATACATTCCAAACTGGATTAAATAACCAGTACTAAAGGATGCTACAGCAATGCGATCTATGTACTGCTGCCTTTGAAGACCCTTTGGAAGCTTCAGGCATTCCAGAAGGTGGCTGCTAGATTGCTGCCTGGGTGCCCCTGGTCTGCACATATAACGCCAATATTTTGGCACCTGCACTGGCTTCCGGTCGGCTTCTAGTACACATTCAAAGTGCTGGTTTTGACCTATAAAGCCCTAAATGGTCTCGGACCATCCTACCTGCACCAGTATGATCCCCCTCATAAGAACATAAGAAGAGCCCTGCTGGATCAGACCAGTGGTCCATCTAGTCCAGCCTCCTGTCTCACACAGTGGCCAGCCAGTTCCTCTCGAGGGCCAACAACAGGGCACAGAGACCGAGGCCTTCCTAAGAACATAAGAAGAGCCCTGTTGCATCAGACCAACAATCCATTCAGTCCAGCATCCTGTCTCACACAGTGTCCAACCAGTTCCTCTCCAGGGCCAACAACAGGGCACAGAGGCTGAGCCCTTCCTAAGAACATAAGAAGAGCCCTGCTGGATCAGCACAGTACTCCATCTAGTCCAGCATCCTGTCTCACTCAGTGGCCAAACCGTTCTTCTGGAGGGCCAACAGCAGGGAATAGAGGTCGAAGCCTTCCCTCTGATGTTGCCTCCTGGCTCTGGGATTCAGAGGCTTAGTGCCTCTGAATGTGGAGGTTCCCCTCAGTTGCCATGGGCAATAGCCACTGATAGACTCCATGAATCTATCTAATTCCCTTTTAAAGCTGTTTATTCCTGTGGCCATCGCTACATCCTCTGGCAGCGAATTCCACAATTTAATCACTCCCTGTGTAAAGCAGTATTTCCTTTTGTCCATCCTGAACCTATTGTCCATCAGCTTCACTGGATGCCCTTGAGTTCTAGTATTTTGGGAGAGGGAGAAAAATTCTCCCCTTGTCAACTCTCTCCACCCCCTGCATAATTTTATAAACCTCTATTATGTCCCCACTTAGTCATCTCTCTTCTAAATTGAAAAGTCCCAAACTCTTCAGTCTTTCCTCATAGGGAAGGGAAGCACAGTGCTCCCGTGGCGAACCCGTGGCTCCCCGCCGAAGGTGCGGATTTAAAAACTAGTACATACGAGGTACTAGTTTCCGGAAACCGCGGGCCAAGGGCGGGCGTCTAATCGCGCTTCTGGTAGACTTACGTGGCATCTGGCGCCCGTCTCCACAGGTTGCGCAACAGCGCCCAACAGCGCATGCGCACAAAGAGCAATTGCTAGTGCGATTGCGCGGAGCAGCTTCTGTGCCGCGCTGCAGGATACCCGTCTGGTCGGCATCTCCCCCCTAACCACAGGACCTCGACTGGGACGTGTGCTCGGGCGGCCATGCGTTAGTTTCCTCCGGGGCAATTAGCCACGGCTTCCCCCCACGATATCCGGCCCGTGTGACCGGGGCCTTGGTTGCTCTTCTCTGTACTTTCTCCATCTCCTTAGATTATCATCACAGGTGTCTGGTCTGCAGATTGCATGCCTGTCAACCACCATGGAAGGGGAATTTTCAGTAGCTGGAACCAGCCACACTCTCCAGAAACACCTTACTGTGAAAGTTCATGCCCTGTGGGATCTTTCAGCATTCTGTAGGGCATGCAAGACTGCTTTATATCATGTGGCCTTTGACTAATGTTACATACTGGGGAGCTGGCCAGTTGTTTTAATTCTCCAAGTAATTTGTTATGAAGTCGATGTTTTAATTGGTTTTGTTGTTCTATTTATTGCTTTGTGTTTATTGTATTTTTAAATATTGTAAAGCTGCCCCACATCCCCTGTGGGGAGAGGGTGTGGGGTATAAATTTAAATAAATAAATAGCTTCCTCAAACATACTTTACATTCTAATGGGTCTGAGGTGAAATATTAGGGTGAAGTATGACAGTTATTCCACTACTAAAATCTGAACGGATAATGCACACAACTGCAACATTTACTTGACGAGCCATTTTAGATTTACATCTATTTTATTTGTTATTTATTTATTATTTCAATTTATATACTGCCCCTCCCTCATAAAGTAGGGCTCAGAGCAGTTCAAAGTATAAAACAGACATGATAAATATACACACACATGCAAACCTTTATTGGCATTGAAAGCACAAAACATGGGAATACAGCAAAATACTAAGATACATGACATGATAAATATAGTTAGAGCAGCATAAAAATGTACAGTATGAAAAACAAATAATTCACAACCGATAGCAGTGGAACCATCATTAAGCCCCAAAAATAAACTAACCAGGAAAAGCCTGACAGAGAAATAAATGTCCCACTGAGCCATACATAGAAATGTCATTGGATGTGTCATTTATCACCCACCCAATGAAACTGTGAATCAGCCGTGTCTCCTTTACCAGTTGCAAGAGGAGGCCATGCTGGGGGAACCCAAAACAGTGCCTGAACTGGCTGTCCTAACCTGTAAGCAGAAATCTCCTGACTTCAGGGCCAAATAACATATTGTGTGAGAAATCTATACCTGGATCTCGGACTTTTTTTTTTTTTACACAGTCATAAGGCACCATGCATTGGTTCAGAGCTGTGGCCCCGAGAGAAGGGATTTCCACTCCTGCACCACTGCTCTAATGAAATGTTGGACCCCTGCAACTGCATTAAGCTAAACATCATAACGCTGAGAGATCCATTGTGTCATTTGAGCCTTAGTCTACACGTTAACGCTTTATCTAGATCTATAAGTTAGTACCTAAGCCTGTGTGTTTATGTATTATGTCTCCCCCAGAAACTGGAATGAGCAGATGTTGGATGAAGCTTGCAGGCTCATTCTTGAAGAAATTCAGCTCTCACCTTCAGCCCTGGGTGGGAAAGTGGAATACAGACGAACTCTACTCGTCAGCTTCTTTTTCAGATTTTATTTGGAAGTGCTACAGGGTTTAAAGTGCATGGTAAGTAGAAATCACCTTGTGTATCTGTGTGGATGTAGAGTTGACTGTATATTTTATGGATTTCACAGTCTGCTTATTCAGTCCCTATAAGCCACACATCATGATAGACACCCTATGGGCAACTCCTGATGATCTGTGCCTCCTGGTGGGCTTTCTGCATTTCATAACAAAAGGCAGGTCAGACTGATATTTAGGCCCAGGTCACACAAGATATTTCCTTCTCCATGTGGGCAGTCCTGACAATTCCAGGGTACTAGAATTTTTCACTTTGAATGGTAGCTTGGACTACGTTGGCCCCGGTCACACGGGAGGTTTTGAGCCGGAAGAGGGACGGATCGGGGGCGCAGCAAACGGGCGCAAGCACACCGCAACATCTGGGAATCGGCGTACACCCGTCCCCGATCCGTCCCTTCCGGCCTAAAACCCGCTGCAAAAAACCCCCAAGTAAAAGGTAGCACCAACCTGGAATGGCGCAGCAAGTGCAGTCGTGAGATCGCCGGCGCGCCCGTCTGCAGGAGCATTCGAGGCTCCCGGCCGAACTGCGCACGCGCACACATGCGCAGTTTGGCTGCCTCACTCTCCCTGCAGTGTCTTCCCCCCGGCATCTGATTGTGCCGGGGAGCAACTGCTTGGCGGCTCACGGGATCTATCTGATCCCGCCACCGCGTGTCTCTTTTGGTGCGGCTTTAAAAAGCCACACTTTGGCCATTCTTTCTTCCCCCGTGTGGCAGGGGCCATATATTAGCAAGTGGTACGAGCTTTCTACAGACAATCCAATCATGCAGTTCATCAATGTGCAGTGAGCAGGATTGGTCACGCGTATGCTAGACCTGGACCCTGCCTCCAAGTGGTCATCAGCTCCTGAGCATGGTGGCTATGTGTAGAGGAAGTGTTTGCACATATGGTCCCTCCCTGCAATCGAGAACGTTCAGAAAGTGGCATCCTTGATCACAGGAGGAACCACGTGTATATACAGAAATTAGCCTAAACTGAGCATAGCCGTATGAACCTTGAATGCTGTTTCTAGCACTGTTTTAAATTACTGTTTTAATTATTTTAATTATTGTGGTTGAGATTTTGTGACTTTGTAACCTGTCCTGAGCCCGTCCGCAGGGAGGGCAGGATAAAAATTGAATAAACTAAATAAATAAACACACTTTCTCTTTCCATAGATGCCATGTTTGTTTGCTGGCCATTGTGTGTGGGGGGGTGGGGGGCAAAGTAGGGCAGTCAGGTCTGGCCATGTGGATTGATTGAGTAGGTGAGAGGAGCATGTGCAGTTATTTATTTTTGTTTAACAAGCCTTTTAACCCTGCCTTTCTGCTGTCAGAGGCCCACCAAGGTGGCTAGCAAACAAAAACACAAAAAAATGAAATCTCTTCTTAAAAGCCATTAAAACCAACTCACAGATATATCTTGAAAACAGTTTAGAGGGTACTCTTTGCCTCCTTTCTATGAAAAGAAATACTCTCCCTTTTTTTTTTTTGCATTTCTGCAGATCGAGTTGTTGTTAAAGGCGCAACAGCAGGCCAAGATAATTTTCTTTTCCCTGATCATTTGAGATCTTTACTATGGAGTAAACCTTTGGATATCACAAATGACCCCAGAGGCAGATAAGAAGGCATGCCCCTTCCCACTAAATATTGCTTGTTCCCTTCTTTTCCAGCTCTGTTACAGAACTGGTTGGCCACAGTGTGAGACAGGATGCTGGACAAGATGGACCACAGGTCTGATCCAGCAGGGCTTTTCTTATGCTCTTAACACCATTCCCACTAGCAACTCATGCATTTTTGAACCTAGGTTTTTTTCCTACTTCCATGTAGAAAAGACGTCCTCTATAAAGCAGACTTTACTTCCATTGTAACAGAAGCTTTGAAATTCAGTAACTTATACTGGCCTGAATGTAAATTATTTGTTAAGATAGCATAAATAGAGATTTTTCCCTTATAAACAGCCATTCAAAGTGACTTTGGTCATGCTTATCGATGGTGAGTGAAAGCGAGCTGAGGACTGCTTTGTAAGGACCATATTTTTCATAAAGGCCAGCTTTGAAAATATTGTTATGAGATACATTGTCTTCTTGTATCATCTTCCTTCCTACAGTACCCATCCGAGTACCCTGGCTTGCCAAAGGAGAACTTGAGCGCCTTGGACGAATTCCATGACCATCCCCCACAGGGCGTGCAAGAATATCAGGTCAGTGGAGCTGTTCTCATAGCAATTGATCCCTAGCTAAGACTGTACCTAGCTAGCCTGATCAGAAGCTAAGCAGGACTGGCTCTACGTAGTGTTTGGATGGGAGAACAACCAAGGAAGTCCAGGGTCATTACACAGGGGCAGGCAATGGCAAACCACCTCTAAACGTCTCTTACCTTGGAAACCCCACCAGGGGTTGCCGTAATTCAGTTGTGACTTGACGGCACTTCCCACCCCACCCCCCAGACCGTACGCAGTCAATGAAGAAAGTATATCCATATTGTTTCTTTACTAGTTGTAGTTTTTTTCTTCACGGAACCTGTACAAACATTCTGTTTGTTGTTTTCTGTGAGCCTTGAGTGCAATTTCTTTTTTTGCATAATAATCTCCTTGACTGGTTCTCCTAGAAGAGCTAGTATGGAACTAGTCATAGTACAGTGGTCCTTTCCGCATTGGCCTGCCACTCCGGATTTTCTCAGTGTTCGAGTCGAGGCAATTTAAGTCCACAGCAAAACAGCATCCAAATAACCCCGGGGCAACAGCAGGCTGGAACCGGGCTGACCACCGAAGGGAGGGAATGTAATGCAGAATGGGGGGGGGCGAATCAAAAGAAGGCTGAATTCGATTTTAGTGCAGAATTGCTTGGAGGACAGTGCAGTAAACATGGATTAAAAGGAGAGTGCAGAAATGTACTCAAATGCAAGATGAGTTTCCCCCCCACAGGTATGCCATCAAAAAAGAGAAGGTTGTCTTATATAGGCAAACAAGTTACATCCAATAATAACTTTTTGTGCATGTATAGCTTTTTAAAAGGAGTTGTATTACATTCAAGGTCACCCTCCTTTTGAGCAAATACTGTAGCTTTGTTTGGAAAGCTAAAGCATTGCCCACTGATAACAGTGTTCCTCAAGTTCTGGGCCCAATATTCACCCAGTAGTAACTGAAGTTCCTCTTGAGGTCAAGTGAATTTAGTAGATATCCCTAAATAACACTACCGGGCATGAACTACCTTGACAGTAAGTAACTCCTTACTCTGTGACAGGATGTCGACCCCCGGCAGCCTCCTCGGGACCCGGTGGGACGTCCCGTCGTGCATGAGTCTGGGATTAAGCATGCCACTGGTGAGGCTGTCTACACCGATGACATTGGTCCAGTAGACAGACAGCTCTACATGGCGGTGGTGACCAGCACACGAGCCCATGCGAAGATTCTGTGAGTGACAACGTGAAGGGCTTCTGTGAGGAAACTGTGACCAAACAGAACCACAGATCAGGCTTTATCTGCATTTGTTTGATTCAGGGGTAGGCTAGAACAAGAAGTGGGTGATTCAAATACAGAGCAGGTCTAAAGAGGGAGCATCAACACACATTTTTTTGCATATAAACAAAGCAATATGTGGGGAGGAATTGGCTGTGTTTGGACTGTTTGCTTCCATGGACTCAAGGCTTCCATGCTCTGCTCACACTTATCTTATGCCTCTCTGTGCATCAGTCAGGGGCAGTGTTCCCTCTAAGCTGAGTTAGTGTGAGCTAGTTCACAGGTTTTTAGCCTCCGGCTCACACATTTTTGTCTTAGCTCAGGAAGGATGGCTCCAGAGCAAACTAATTTAGGCAGTAGCCAAATCACTCGCTCACAACTTGAATTCCAGTAGCTCACAAAGTAGGATTTTTGCTCACAAGACTCCACAGCTTAGAGGGAGCATTGGTCAGGGGACGTCTTGGGATTTTCTCTTCTTACAAATATTTGGTCAGAAGTTCCAGGATTTTTAAATTTAGATACTGGGCTTTCCCAGATGTCCCCCCTCCCCGGTCGGTTCTGGCCCCACACTGCTTTTGTTTATCCCCAGAATTTTCCCATGCATTTTTGTGCCTTGAGTTTTTGGTTTGGTGTCCGACCACACCAGGTTATTTCTGGTTCTGTTGAAACCACTTTTGAAACCATTTTTACTCCAATCTTTTTATGGAAGCCCTTTTCCTCGTGTGTTATGTTTCTGCCAGTTTTCTTTGTCCCGCCCACTACTACGTACCTCCAGCCCACTTTTCAATTATTTGACTGTCATCATATAATCGTCATCATCCTCAAACCACTCTGTCACCTACCCCCCACCCTAAAGATTAGTGGTTTCATTTTTGTTTTTTGTTTTTTAAAGGCAGTAAAATGTTAGTATATTGATATAGCATTGTAATGACAGGTTTAGCGTTGTAGCAATAGGCTTAGCAGGTTCTCTGAATTCCCAGCATTAATTTTTTTAACAAAGTTAAGTCTCTAGACT